CAATTATGAGATCTGAGTCCAATAATGAATTCTTTGAACCTGTTTCCAAAGTAATATATTTGGTTCTATAATAAAATTTTTCATACCAATGTCTAAATAAAAATAATTTGCAACCTTCATGACAGTGAGAGAAAAAATGTCAAAGATGATGCATCATATGCTCTCAATGGAAAAATATTTTTTCAAAAGTCATTTAACATTGTAAGTATCTGGGGGAAATTCATGACATACCAGTATGTAAAATAAGAACAGAAGAAAGTCTGTTTCTCCTCAAAGTAGACAATAAGAAAATAAAAGCAGTTTAGTCTGTGGGGTGATAAAATCATGAGTGAATTTTTCTTACATTTTGATTTTTGTTAATTCTGCATTTCCACTATTAGTAGACATTCTGTTATTTAAAATAAATCTATTAAAACAGCTCTTGCTAATGGGTCTGTGGAAAGAGTACTACTTATGCCAATGGGAGTAAGAAAAGGCAACATTAGATTTGTTAATTTTTTTAACATGTTGAAGTAGAGAAATGCTGATTGATCAGAATTTTCTGTCAATGTAGCATATAAAACTATAGGGAGCAGGTAAGAAACTCAGCTGAAAAGGATGCACACACGATATGAACAGTTGAAAAGGAGAGTTTAATAAACTATTTATGAAACTGTGGGCAGGGTTTAGGGAACCCAACAAAGTTTGGGGGAGTCCCTGAGGGGATAGCAACAGGGAGCTGTTGCCACCATTGGGACTGTAGGAGCAAGGAGAGAGTGACACTAGGACCCAGGTTGGGCAGCTGAGATGGAAAGAGCTACCAAAGGAGGGGGGCAGCTAATGAGCACACAGAATGCATCCTGGCAGGGGAGCCTGAAATAGATACCCAGCCACACATCATCTCCTGCTGATGCATCCTAATCACAGATTCCAGCCAAAGCAGATGGACAGGGAGATGGTTGGCGTAGGTCAGTTCCCAGACCCAGAGCAAAGATAGAAAAAGAAGAAGGTGGGTCCAGAAGGATAAGTGGAAGAGAAGTAGAACAAGGGGCTGCACAGTAATGTGGTAACAGGATCCATGCATTTACACATGGGTTCACATGAGGGCTCATGCTAAGTGCTTCAGGCTAATGTTAATGAAGAAAAATATGGCTACTGGCATTTCCAAAAACCTGGAGCATTGCATAAACTTGTTTATTTCTCCTTATGTGCAAGAGTGCCCATGCTGTGTTTGCTAGGTGAAGTAAAATGTTCCAGGACATCCTTCATGCTCCTCTACATTCATAGCAAGAGCTCATGGCTCTTAAAATAAGAAGAATCTGTCAAACCTTTGTTTAAAAATCCCCCTGATCACCTTTCTGTGGCAGATATATACATAATGTATGTAAGTATTATATATTATATTATATACTAGCTGATGTAAATTATATGTATATAATTATAAATTATGTAATGTATAAATTTATATAGAATTATATATAAAAACATAAATAATCATATATATTAGTTATATATGATTAATTTTATATATAATAAGTCAACCTTCTTACCTCATTGAGGCTCTCTTGATTTTCAAATTTTTCCCAAAAAAGAGATTTTTTTTTTTTTGCTAGAAGTGTAAATTATTGATAACAATGATGATAATAGCTAGCACTTACTAAATTCTCGCTATGTGCCAAAGCACCTGTGAGGTAGGTCTGGTCTTGTCTCTCTTTTAAATTGTATGGATGAGAATTCAAGCTGAAAGGTCATTAACTTCTTCAAGTCACATCACTAGAAATAAATGACTGAGTTTTTGGAGGCAGCCAGACTCCAGAGCCCCAGATTGTAAACACCCTCTTCCCTCTCTATATAGAAATAATGCATTAACACTTTTTAAAATAGTGGACAAGATGATTGGCATTCTTTAAAAGCTTTACTTGAAACCTCATCAAATAAAATGCAAGACTGCCAAAGATGAGGGAAGAGCAAGAGAAAAGATATCAAGGGCAGGGGGACCTGGGCGTTAAGTGTCAGAAGTTTCCAAACTGAGCTCAGCCTACATGCCGGCCCCTGCCACTCACGAACGTTCTCTACCCTGTGCCATCTGAACTAGAATGTTTGTCCTTCCCTTTCTTAAATGATTGCTGTGAACACTTGGGAGCTAAGTTTGACGGTTTTGTTGAATCTGTATTAAAGTCCTACATACAAAACTGTGACAGAATGGTTCTGCCGTAGGCCTTAAACTTATTTCATGTCAGCTTTGTTTAATGAAATTCTGAGAAATGTGATAGAACTGTGAAATGTGCATATGGCCACATTGCATCTGCCAGTGTAAACCAGCTTTATTCACATGTTAAGCTGCTTTTGTAAAACATACTGATCAAGCAAACCAACCCTTGGTCATCCATATTGCTTCACAGACTTCAATGCTCTCAGAACATTAAAACATTATAAAGAAATAACAATTCTCATTCTACTTTGGAATGTCAAGGAATAAGCAGACAATTATAGATTATTGAGGCTTGATACTTCTCTATCTCTGGACTACTTGGTCCATTTTTCTGTTTATCAGATGATAGCCCAGAAAAATATGTAAAAATGGAACCCTTCAATAAGTTAATTTAATGACTTGTTAACAGCTTTGATGAAAAGGTTGGTGATGAAATTAAGATATTTGTGTAAGATGACATATTGAGGTTAATGGTGGGACTCAATTATCCATGATATCCATTAGCATGGAAGGCTGAGAAGTTGCTATAAATTTCCTAAAGCTTGGACTGCCCCATAGCTTAAACCATACTTAGCAGAAGAGATGAGAAAGAGTTCATTGGCTCCAAACTGATCTGATTTGCTGTGTGGCTGTGTGCCAGTCTGCACTAGTGCAGATGTATGAATTGTAGGCTGCTACAATAACCCTTCTTTGTGTCACATGCTAGAAGAGATTTTATCTGGGCTAGACCTGGACCTCTGAAATAGTTTCTGTAGTGATCATTTGTTTTTTTGCCTCTCTAGTATCCTTTCTCTTTGTTCGTTCAGAGTTCAATATTTCGAATTTCCTTTGGGAAGCTACTCTATCCCCACTCTCAGATCATGTGGTTGAGATGGATCATGTGACCCATGCTTAGGCAACCAAAGCACTAAATTTTCTTAGCCATATTGATTCTTTCAGAGGTGGGCTCATGAACAAGGCCTGCTCTAGCATCAAAATTCCATCCTTTTGGGCACATTGGAGATGGTCATAAACACAGATTAATCCAGTCGTAGTTAATTCTGAGTCTTGAGAAGATGCACTAAAAAACAGTCTTTTCTGCTAGAATGACTAATACTAATAGTGATACAGTCTTAGAGCTGTAGGGTATCAATGTGGAACCTAAGAATTTGAATGCACAAATAGCCAAGAAACTTATACCTGTTTAAGTGCCTGGATCAAACCATGACTGAAGATATGAGTACTTGATTGTCAGTGATATTAGTTCATTTATCTTTTTTTTTGCTTACGTGCTTAAATTGGGTTTTCTGTTACATGTGACAAAAGAGTTCTAAATAATATTATCTCCTCACTACATTTAGTCTCACCTGCTAGCTCTTCTAGAAAAGTCCTTCTATTGCGCCCCCTTTTGATCTAGTACTCTTCTGTTAAAGAAGATTGAACAATGACTCTTCAGTGCTTAACTTACTGCACAATCTGGTCTCTGCCTTACCTTGGCTGGCACAGGCATGTGGCTTAATTGTTTTAGGCTAATGGGAAGGAAGAATAAATAGGATTTGATGGGAAATAGTCAAGGGGCAGTGGTCTGCTTGGGAGAGGACAGTTGTGGTGTCTTGGAACAGTGCCCTATGGTCATTTCTAAAGTCAGGAGTAAAACAAATATAGACTATTAGAGACAGAAAACAAATCCCATCATGTGGGGAAATCTGGGTCATGAATAGGAGTGGCCATGGCACCACAGCTTGAGGGCGAGGTGACTTTCCCTCAGTCCACTAGTTCTGCCTATGGCAGGCAGACCATCAGCCATACAGCTGGGCCACCAGGGCTTACTCTGGAGAACAACCATGTTAAGCATGACCTGGCAGAGGAACACAGCCCACTACCAAATGCACTACCTCTGTTGACATTCACTCAAGAAGTCAGATGGCCCTGAGCCTGCCACATGAGACCTCCTTTGCATCAGCTGAAGAAAACAGAGGCAAGGAAACAGGGTGGCTGCCAACAGGTGCAGCCCACCTGCCATCCCAGGATGGGGCTGTACACATTGACTTGGAGACCAACCTAGACCTGGGCTTAAAACCCAGGTCTACCATCAGTTAAGTAGTATGATCTTAAGCAAGTGTCTGAATTGTTGATGTGTCAGTCTTCTCACCCACAAAATAGTTCTTTCCTCAGAAGGTGGCCATGAGGATTAATTGATAAGGTGTGTAAAATACTCAGCACAGGATAAATACTTGATAAATACTTTTTCTTATTCTGCTACACTTCAGCTAAGTTGGATGTACCATTTCCTATGCATATTTGGTGCTTTCCATCTTTACAGATGCCATTTTCTTTCTTCCCTTATGTTTCCCTACTGGAATTCCATCCATCCATTAAGATTTAATTCAAAAGTCATCATTTTATGAAGGCTACCTTCCAACTGGATGGAATGTTTCCTTCATCTATAGCTCTTTGTAACAGTTAGAAACCATATACAGGACAGTAGTTTTTAATCCTGGCTGCATATTAGAACCACCTGGGAACCTATTAAAAATACTGATGCCTGGGCCCCTATCCCAGAAATTCTGATTTCATTGTTCTGAGGTGAGACTTAAGCATCAATATGCTTAAAAAGCTCCCTAGATGATTCTAATGTGCAGCCAATATTTAGAAGTGATGGTTGAATGATTGTGTTTTTAAATGTTTATCAACAAATCCAAGCTAAGATATTAATGCCTTTAAGTTTTAATAGACTAACCTTTAGAAGACTTGCATTTTTATTAAAATTAATATAATATTATTTCCAAAGAATATAAAAGTAAATAAGATTTTTAAAAAATGTTTAGCCTGTGGAAGAGATCATAATTCAACAAGGGAAAATCATATAGAGCTGTGAGCGTGAAATATGATACATGGGTGCTATACTAGAAATATATCTGAAGTATTTTGGGAGCACAAAGGGGAAAAGCCCACTAATTAGGAGGTGGCAGAAAAAGAAGAGGAAGAACCTTCAAAATGTGGCTGACATTGAGCTGAGTGCTGAAAGGTGTAAACTGGTTTGCAAGATCAGGGGTGGGAAGGTTTTCCAGGCCATTCATGGAGGTCTCAAGTGCCTGGCTCGTTCCCATTCATGCATCTTCCTATCACCAAAGAATGAATTGTTACTGGAGAAAACAGCAATTCTGTCTGCTAGGTTCTAGCTGTGAGAAGATGAGAGAATGTTTTGAGGCAGGTGAACTTTTTCTCAAAATTATACCTGTAGTAGACTTTGGTTATAATGAACCAGCTCTAAACTTGGGTTATTATTTTTTTTAAAGACAGAAGGGTTGCCTTCCAAAACCAATTCATAGGAAGGATGAGTGTGACAAGGTTCAGAGATGACTGTACCAGGACCTAGCATGTTCCCAGGAGTCTCTTCACCTCCTTTCCTCTGGGCTTCTCTCTGAATGTTAGTTTCATTGCCACAAGCTTGCCATCTCTTGGCCACCTAGTTCTCTCATCAGTTTCTTCTTCCTATTTAAATAATTTCCCCCAAAGACTCTGTGGTTAACTGATTGTAAAAATGGTTCCAGTTCCCCACTTTGCCTGCGATCCACACCATTTGCAATGTACCTTTGCAGCAACTTCCACCAAGCTGGGTGTTTTTTGCCATCCTTTGGATCTAGGTTGGCCTCTGACATATATATATGGCCAATAGAATAGGATAGAAGTGAGAGTGGGCTAGTTTTGAACCTAAACTTGAAAAGGTCCTGTGTTCTTCTATTAGAAGCCTACCACCAGTGTTATAACAGGACCAAGCTAATCTAAAGATCCTGGCCGTAGAGCCAGGTCATTCTAGGTAGATCAGGCAGCCCTCAGCCAACCCACCAGCTGAGTTGCAGACACATGAGTAAGCTCAGCCAAAATCAGTAGAGCCTAACCAAGACTGAAGAATTGCCCAACCAACCCACAAACTCATGAGCTAAGTAAATGGTTGTTTTTTTAAACCACTGGATTTTGTGGTTGCATGTTAACAGAATTTTTGTGGAAATAGATAACCAATAGAGCCACCAGTTTACCAATGTAATAATCCCACATATAAACACAGATGTATTCAGTCCACCTCACTGCAAATAGCTGAATATCCAGTATCACAGAGTGATGTCTGTTCCTGTCTATTAGGTGAAAAATGTGACTTTTCTGAGATTAATATTTAGTGGTGGAAGAATATTAGGATAATGCCAATCAAAACCTCCCAGTCAGAAATGGGAGATGAAGAAACCACACACAAGGGCAAATACTGCTAGCATTGAGCCCTGCTATTGATCCCTGGCCAGAGCACTCTGGTTTCCTTTCGGAGTTGCCCTCAGGTTTTATGTGTATGTGGCCTTGGCAAGAGGGTGATTCCAGCATCCTGCATCCACAAATATGAAAATCCTGCTGGTTAGGGATAATAAGATAAATGATGACTTCAGTAGGTCTCATTGCATCTATGTGTTGAATCATTTCCCTGGCTGTATATTGAGTTCTTTAATTGGCCAATGTGGTAGCTCAAGTTCTGCCAGCTGGGTGATTTTCCTCCTCTATTTTTCTCAACAGCAACTGTAAGAGAAGGGAGAGAAGGGAGAGAGCCTTTGTGAAGTTTGAACACCTCAACCATCCAGCTCACCTACAATTGGTGCAGACCTAGAAGCCTAAAGGTTTCCTTAGGGCTTAATCACTGGCTCCATTGTCCAGATTTAAGATTTCTCCAGCAACATCGTAACCGCCTCGTCACTGGCACCAGAAATGTACTCCAGCCAGTGATATTGAACTAAATATCACTGTCATGTTTTTCTTCCAGCCTCTATCTGCCTAGTTCTTAATTTAAAGAATTATACCTCTGCCTCTGTCTAGTTGGGACAGAGTGGGTAGAGAAGGGAGGCAAACTAGTATCTCCCCTAATGCCAGCTAATGCTTGGGAGGGCCTGGGAGATCAGACTTCCTAATGCACCTGGATTTTCCCTCATATTCCACTTTAGCTTGGGCTGAGAAATAGACTTCTACAATTTGCCAGTGTGTGAATACCAGTAGTATAAGACTACTGTGGAAGGGCAGAAAGGGATTCCCTTAACAAAGCCATTTTACTCTCCTGCTGGTCTGCCTTCAGCTTGGGCAAAGAACATCTTTTTCTTGCAGCATCATGCTACATGCCCTACAAGACAGCTTCCACAGTCTACTATCATGACATTTCCTACCACATCCTCCAAAATTATAGCTTTAATGGAAATGGGGTTTGAATGCCAAGAGACTCCAGGCTACAGTTTAGCCAATAGCTTCAAATTTGCATAACAGCCCAGGATTTGAACTACATGCTTGGAAGACTTTTCCAGAGGAAGAAGAGTACCCTTCCCAGAACATCAACATTCCAGGTAAACAAAAGAAACGCCTGACTCCCCCAACCCCATATTGAACACTGCTTATCAAGGGTTGCCTACACTGATTGATGGGTAGGGGCTACTCTCTGCACTGCTTTGAGAGAGATTGTGAGGCCATGCCTTGACTCTATGAGAAAGAATGCTATGATTAATTAGTCATGTCTGCACTGGTTAAGCAGAGACAGCAGAGTAATAAGACACATGTCATGTTCTGCCATCTTTGTTCTTCACCAATTAAGCATAAAATTAGGTCTGCACTGTGGTCTTGTCTTTATAAGATAAAAATTTGATAATTTGGTAAACATTTAAGATAACAATTGGGATGAGTCTAATATGAAAAGTAATCATCCTGGCTTCCAGATAAAGTACCTTAACTTTTTCAGAAAACTAGTTCATTTGTACATACAAACCAACATTGTTAACAGAAGTTGTTTGTACTCCAAATATGCTAAATTCATCTCCAACTGACAACATCATATACTTAAGGTTACATATCTCTTTCCTTCTAAATAAAAAGTCAGATAACAATGGAACACCTTATATTCTATAAGAATAATCTCATCTTTTGGCAGCTCAGATATAATACCTGTTCTGCCTGCATCTTCATCTTGTGAAGATCAGATGTACTTTGAAAACCTCAAAATACTGTATGAAATTTCTTTTTACTACTTCTACTTTGAAAACTGTAATACTCTATGTACCTTATTTTTCTTCTTCCCAGAGTGGTCCAGTCTCCTTCAGGGGCTGCCCTCAGGCACTATGAGTATGGTCTTATCAGGAGAGTGATTCCTATACTCCCCATCCACAAAAAATAGGGCAAGTGGAGGCATCGGATCCTACTTCCACTCATTTCTGAAGCTGCCTAGTGTGCAGGCACATGAGAAAGCTCAGCAGAATGTGATGCTTGCTCCTAAGGTGCTGGTTTTCGAATATGGGTGGAAGTCAGCAGCTACAACAGATGTGGTTGCCCCTGAGCAGAGGCTGTGATGGCAGCTCTGGCCTGATTCTTCTAGTACCTTCTGTGAATTCCACACAGACCCCATTTCATTTTATAGTTTAATGTACTCATTGCAATAATCTCTATGGCAAACAGGGATAGTTTTGATTGAAAGGAGCAATCAACATGGACCGCAGACGTGTGTCAGTGTCTGGTGCATTGAACCCGAAATGCAGCAAGAGCTCAATAAATAGTTGTTGAATAAGTGGAAGCTTGAAATACAACTGACCTTGGACCTCTGTGCTCTAATCAGCCACAGTTTTATCCCTAAGCAGCTCTAGACATGTCTGAGTTCAAAGCAGGAATAGCCAGACCCGTGGCATCTTGTACACTTTGATGAGGGAAGTAAATCTTTCCCAGAAGCCATCATCCTGAAATCTCTTGCTTACTCATCTTTCACCACACCCAGCCCCCATGGATGTTGGCAAATCACGTATCCCACCTGGGGCTGTATCCTTTGTTGCCACAAACAGATAGGGGGTTCTGTTAGTGAGGAAGAAATGGGTGAATAGATATTGGGTAGGCAACTAATAATGTCTGCCAGAAAAAAATTCTAATACAGAAGAGATAATGATCCTGGCTTTCTGAGAGTAGAAACCGTGGGAATCTGGACCACTAAGGAAATGGGAAACCGTCCTCTCGAACATGAATCCTGGTCCCATGGTCCACCTACTCGGCCCCAGGCCAAGCAAGATGTCCCTGCAGAGGCTGTCCTAAGTCTGAAGATGGGACTCTGCTTTCAGATACAAACATGTAAGCTCTGGCTAGTGAGGAGGATGTATGTCTTCAGAGGAACCAGCATTCCTATAGCTGACCAAGGTCTTATAAGCCTAAAGGTTTCTACCTGAGGGCAGAGATGGCTCTAAACTGCCCAGGATGAGGGGCTCCAGTCTGCGATGTGTTTTCCATGATGCAGCTGTTCTAAATGTTTTGTTTGTGTACCAGCAGTCCTGCTGAATCCTTCCTGACAGCCTTACAAGGGCTGCCACAGGCTCCTGAACCCGGCCTGGCCTGCGTCTTCAGGCTAGATGGTCCCAGGAGACCCCACTAACCCAGCAATGACCCTTGTCACTCTGACCTCTCCCCAGGCTCCATGCCTCTGACCTCGAGAACTAAACAGTCCCAAGCTGTGCCCTGCGGAGGCCCCAAACACCAGGCCCAGGGAGTAGCTAATTGGTTTTTTACAAGCCTAAGATAATTCAAACATTTAAATATTGATGTTCATTTCTAGGCAGCTATAAACACAAAAGGGGGGAAGAGCATGTTTAACTGCTTCCTCTCATTCAGTCGCAGGGTGATAATGGCCTTTAGTCAATAAGCCCAGCTTTCTAAAGAGGGGATTCATTTGCATTAAAAGGGATATTCAGTGTGCTTTCTCTCATCGTGACAGAATGGTCCCTGCACTGGGTGGGTGCTCCACTCACCCTTCATCTGCCCAGTCTGGATAGCAAAAGGGCCACTGGAATCCTGTGTCCGGGGCTGAAGAAAGAATAATGCAGACTATAGTCAGCACCCAAGGAAGCATTTTCCATAGCCTATGAGACCCTGCTGAGGATGGGCAGACCCCAATAGTTGACTGCAGATCAAGAATGGGAGGCCAGGGTGCTCCTGCTGTCCTCCCCTTGAAGCATGGCTGTGAGGGGGGGACACAGGTGGGGACTTAAGGTGCCAGGGCAGATGGCTGAGCTAACGTGGTCCAAGAAAGCACCTCGCTGCCATCTCCATCCCTCTCCCAATCCTGCTCACCTCCTCCACGCAGTCATTCTGTGCTTGTCCTCTCAGGCCCACAGAAAACACTAGTCCAAAAGTCCCTGACACCTGATCATTTTTTTCCTGTACCATTTTGTATATTTCTTGAACATGCACATCAGCAAGCCGGTGATTTGTTCCAATCCTGACACTTCTGTGTTCATGGGTATGTAGTTGTTATTATTAAAGGTTTGTAAGCCATCCATAGGATCTGCTGCTTTCATAACCAGGATCAAGGCATGCAATTAAGATGTAGAAACAATGATAATAACAATGGTACCCTTTGGTTCAATTAAAACACCATTAATATTACAGTACAGGTCATAGAGTCACAATATGTTTATTTATAATTGAAAGATGGTCTGTTCTCTTATAGACTCTTATGTTGATGGGTACCTTATGTTATATTTATGTAGTTTTTCATGTTACCATTCTTAAGATTCTAGACTTCTTGAGGGTACTGTTGTCATTATTCTGGGGTCCTGGAGTCACACATTCACTTATAGTACAAGTCAGATGTTAACAGAAAGTGCAGCTTCTTTCATTGTTCTATTAACTGATCCCCTTTACAAATGCCTTACTGGGAAGCAAGGAAAAAAGAAAAAAACAAATTTATGTTAACAACCCACAAAATTTCATCCTCTTCATGCAATTTCACACTTCCTCTGCCTAACTGCTCTGCCTATTTTGGAAGAAATGCTCCATTTTCCAGACCTCTGCTTCTCTCCCTGTTTTTGGAGATGGCTCTGGGCATAGGGGCAGGGGTGGGGTTTCTGCGGCTCTGTGGTGGTAGTGGGTGAGAGGGTCCTCAGACCAGCAGTGTACCCTGGATCCTCAGGAGGTCTGCAGCAGAGGGACTGGCTTGAGCTTCCTGGGAACTATGACCACAGAGGGTAAGTGGATCTCCTTCCAGGAGATTCTGCTGGAAACTGGTCCTGGAGCTTGGGGCTAGTGCAACTGATGATCAGTTTTCTTTTCAGCTTGATCTGGAGCTGGTCTCTTAGTTCTGGTGACTCATTCCCTTGTGTGTCCTTGCTGGTGCTGAGGACTCTCAATAGATGCTGGCCCAGCCAGTCTGCCTGGCAGGCCTCATTGCTGTCCCCAACACAATGACTGGTCCCTTCCAGAAAGTCCTGTCAGACTCTCCCTCAATTTTCAGACTCTCCTCTAGGTCTCATTTGGGCCATAGAGAAGCAAATAGCAGTTCAGGAGGTGAACAGTCTGCCTCCCTTTGGGGTATCTGTGAGTTTACTTTGCTGTGGCCATTCTTGGTTGCTGAGGATGGGCTATAAGACTCTGTCCTCCCAGAGCCTCAAGTGGAAAGGAGAGCAGAGACCCTCTCTTCACCTTTGCCCTCAATTTACCACATTTCATCAAATCTGAGATGCCGCTGATTATAAGACATACATCATTATTCTGTATACCAATACATAAAAAAAGGAAAATAGTAGTGCCTAGGAAGACACAACACTCCGTGATGGATCCTGTCAAAGTGTGCAAATCCACGTGTATTAAATCAGATAATGATTTATGTACGTGGCGTATGTTCCTGTTGACTGAATATTGGCCCAAAGATGGAGACACAGGCCTGGCCACTACTAACTTCCCTCTCTCACTTCTCTCTCTCCACAATCCCTCAGGCCAAGAGGAATAAGCCTGGGGCTTTTGGTTTCTTGTCATCACATCCTTCTGTGACCTCAGGGCAGCAAGTTTCACTGCCTGGATTCGCCTCAGAAGACACTCATCCCTGTAGCCCTGCCTCACTCCTGATACAGTATTAACTTGGAAAGTCTGTTTTGTTTCAGCAAAGCCTGGCTTCCAAGACTACTACATTGACTTGTGAGAAAGTTCTCTTTTGAATATCCAAAATTGAATGTTGGTGTTTTTTTTTCTTTTAGAACCAATTCTTAAACAATCTTAAACTTCTAGGAAGCATGCTTTTTGAATGGCTCTGGCAGAATGCAGAGAAGTTCAGTTTAAGAAAATATAAAACAAGCAAAAAAAAAAAGAAGCACATTAAAACGTTAACGAAAAATTATGCTATTTCATTTTTATCTCCCCACAAGTCCAGGCTAGCATGGAGCAATGGGCAAAACTGACATGTAGTCTATTCAGCAGGAAAACAAAAAATGAAAATATTTCTACTCATTCCAGCAGTACCTCTGAAGACAGAATTTGTTTCACTGACTTTCTTGGCCATTTCCCACAAAAAACTAAATTAGATTTCATTTTCAGGGGACCCACAGTGGATGTTGACTTAGTAGTTGACCTCTTTGCCATTTCCAAATTGATAATATCTCTCCCACCAAAAATAACCCTGAGGCCCTAGACACTTTTGTATTTCTTTGTGTTGCAATCTTTGGACTAGGAGTGAATATTTGCTTCCTTCTGCTATTCGAGCGTTAGTAATCTCATAGGTGGAATAGAAGTTGTACATGAAAATTGTTATTATCTTGTAAGAATGTGACTTTTTTTTTTCACTATTATTTTGGAGCAGCCAAATCGACATCCCAGGGACAGGACTTGTTATAATATAGGGGTTTTGTGCAGCTACTGAAGCTCTTTCTCCCTAACATTCTTCAAAAAGAACCTTTACTCAGATGCTTGGTGAGGAAACAGGAGTGGTTTCTCAGGCCAGGACTTCTTGCTGTCCGCCTGAGCTACAGCTGTCTCCATGGACTTTTCTGCTGGCTAGCCTGTCCCAAGACACTGCCGACAAAAATCTAAATATAAACTTAAAGTAACCGGCAGAGGAATGGTAGATAGTACTAGAAGTATACAAAAGAGGTCATAAAATGATTGCACTGATTTGTAAATAGGTAGCTGAAAGAAGTTGAAAAGTTACAGAATCACCCTGCTTTTTTCCCAGTTTTTCTTCACCAAATCTTCATTAATTCTCATATTTTTTGTTTCAGTGTTGTAATCACATAACTGTCATTTAAAATATGATTTAAGCCCGACTATTATTTTTAAACATACATTTTCAGGTGTGATCTTTCCCATATTCGGGGCAAAATTGTGTGAGAGTGTGCTTATGTATGACTAAGTCTCTCATAAACTTGACTTTAATACGGAAGTCATCGACGGTAGAAGGGAATGTCACTGAACTTCATCTTACTAGACATTTCTTGGGGAGACTGATGGTTACAAAAGAAACGCCTGACTCCCCCAACCCCATATTGAACACTGCTTATCAAGGGTTGCCTACACTGATTGATGGGTAGGGGCTACTCTCTGCACTGCTTTGAGAGAGATTGTGAGGCCATGCCTTGACTCTATGAGAAAGAATGCTATGATTAATTAGTCATGTCTGCACTGGTTAAGCAGAGACAGCAGAGTAATAAGACACATGTCATGTTCTGCCATCTTTGTTCTTCACCAATTAAGCATAAAATTAGGTCTGCACTGTGGTCTTGTCTTTATAAGATAAAAATTTGATAATTTGGTAAACATTTAAGATAACAATTGGGATGAGTCTAATATGAAAAGTAATCATCCTGGCTTCCAGATAAAGTACCTTAACTTTTTCAGAAAACTAGTTCATTTGTACATACAAACCAACATTGTTAACAGAAGTTGTTTGTACTCCAAATATGCTAAATTCATCTCCAACTGACAACATCATATACTTAAGGTTACATATCTCTTTCCTTCTAAATAAAAAGTCAGATAACAATGGAACACCTTATATTCTATAAGAATAATCTCATCTTTTGGCAGCTCAGATATAATACCTGTTCTGCCTGCATCTTCATCTTGTGAAGATCAGATGTACTTTGAAAACCTCAAAATACTGTATGAAATTTCTTTTTACTACTTCTACTTTGAAAACTGTAATACTCTATGTACCTTATTTTTCTTCTTCCCAGAGTGGTCCAGTCTCCTTCAGGGGCTGCCCTCAGGCACTATGAGTATGGTCTTATCAGGAGAGTGATTCCTATACTCCCCATCCACAAAAAATAGGGCAAGTGGAGGCATCGGATCCTACTTCCACTCATTTCTGAAGCTGCCTAGTGTGCAGGCACATGAGAAAGCTCAGCAGAATGTGATGCTTGCTCCTAAGGTGCTGGTTTTCGAATATGGGTGGAAGTCAGCAGCTACAACAGATGTGGTTGCCCCTGAGCAGAGGCTGTGATGGCAGCTCTGGCCTGATTCTTCTAGTACCTTCTGTGAATTCCACACAGACCCCATTTCATTTTATAGTTTAATGTACTCATTGCAATAATCTCTATGGCAAACAGGGATAGTTTTGATTGAAAGGAGCAATCAACATGGACCGCAGACGTGTGTCAGTGTCTGGTGCATTGAACCCGAAATGCAGCAAGAGCTCAATAAATAGTTGTTGAATAAGTGGAAGCTTGAAATACAACTGACCTTGGACCTCTGTGCTCTAATCAGCCACAGTTTTATCCCTAAGCAGCTCTAGACATGTCTGAGTTCAAAGCAGGAATAGCCAGACCCGTGGCATCTTGTACACTTTGATGAGGGAAGTAAATCTTTCCCAGAAGCCATCATCCTGAAATCTCTTGCTTACTCATCTTTCACCACACCCAGCCCCCATGGATGTTGGCAAATCACGTATCCCACCTGGGGCTGTATCCTTTGTTGCCACAAACAGATAGGGGGTTCTGTTAGTGAGGAAGAAATGGGTGAATAGATATTGGGTAGGCAACTAATAATGTCTGCCAGAAAAAAATTCTAATACAGAAGAGATAATGATCCTGGCTTTCTGAGAGTAGAAACCGTGGGAATCTGGACCACTAAGGAAATGGGAAACCGTCCTCTCGAACATGAATCCTGGTCCCATGGTCCACCTACTCGGCCCCAGGCCAAGCAAGATGTCCCTGCAGAGGCTGTCCTAAGTCTGAAGATGGGACTCTGCTTTCAGATACAAACATGTAAGCTCTGGCTAGTGAGGAGGATGTATGTCTTCAGAGGAACCAGCATTCCTATAGCTGACCAAGGTCTTATAAGCCTAAAGGTTTCTACCTGAGGGCAGAGATGGCTCTAAACTGCCCAGGATGAGGGGCTCCAGTCTGCGATGTGTTTTCCATGATGCAGCTGTTCTAAATGTTTTGTTTGTGTACCAGCAGTCCTGCTGAATCCTTCCTGACAGCCTTACAAGGGCTGCCACAGGCTCCTGAACCCGGCCTGGCCTGCGTCTTCAGGCTAGATGGTCCCAGGAGACCCCACTAACCCAGCAATGACCCTTGTCACTCTGACCTCTCCCCAGGCTCCATGCCTCTGACCTCGAGAACTAAACAGTCCCAAGCTGTGCCCTGCGGAGGCCCCAAACACCAGGCCCAGGGAGTAGCTAATTGGTTTTTTACAAGCCTAAGATAATTCAAACATTTAAATATTGATGTTCATTTCTAGGCAGCTATAAACACAAAAGGGGGGAAGAGCATGTTTAACTGCTTCCTCTCATTCAGTCGCAGGGTGATAATGGCCTTTAGTCAATAAGCCCAGCTTTCTAAAGAGGGGATTCATTTGCATTAAAAGGGATATTCAGTGTGCTTTCTCTCATCGTGACAGAATGGTCCCTGCACTGGGTGGGTGCTCCACTCACCCTTCATCTGCCCAGTCTGGATAGCAAAAGGGCCACTGGAATCCTGTGTCCGGGGCTGAAGAAAGAATAATGCAGACTATAGTCAGCACCCAAGGAAGCATTTTCCATAGCCTATGAGACCCTGCTGAGGATGGGCAGACCCCAATAGTTGACTGCAGATCAAGAATGGGAGGCCAGGGTGCTCCTGCTGTCCTCCCCTTGAAGCATGGCTGTGAGGGGGGGACACAGGTGGGGACTTAAGGTGCCAGGGCAGATGGCTGAGCTAACGTGGTCCAAGAAAGCACCTCGCTGCCATCTCCATCCCTCTCCCAATCCTGCTCACCTCCTCCACGCAGTCATTCTGTGCTTGTCCTCTCAGGCCCACAGAAAACACTAGTCCAAAAGTCCCTGACACCTGATCATTTTTTTCCTGTACCATTTTGTATATTTCTTGAACATGCACATCAGCAAGCCGGTGATTTGTTCCAATCCTGACACTTCTGTGTTCATGGGTATGTAGTTGTTATTATTAAAGGTTTGTAAGCCATCCATAGGATCTGCTGCTTTCATAACCAGGATCAAGGCATGCAATTAAGATGTAGAAACAATGATAATAACAATGGTACCCTTTGGTTCAATTAAAACACCATTAATATTACAGTACAGGTCATAGAGTCACAATATGTTTATTTATAATTGAAAGATGGTCTGTTCTCTTATAGACTCTTATGTTGATGGGTACCTTATGTTATATTTATGTAGTTTTTCATGTTACCATTCTTAAGATTCTAGACTTCTTGAGGGTACTGTTGTCATTATTCTGGGGTCCTGGAGTCACACATTCACTTATAGTACAAGTCAGATGTTAACAGAAAGTGCAGCTTCTTTCATTGTTCTATTAACTGATCCCCTTTACAAATGCCTTACTGGGAAGCAAGGAAAAAAGAAAAAAACAAATTTATGTTAACAACCCACAAAATTTCATCCTCTTCATGCAATTTCACACTTCCTCTGCCTAACTGCTCTGCCTATTTTGGAAGAAATGCTCCATTTTCCAGACCTCTGCTTCTCTCCCTGTTTTTGGAGATGGCTCTGGGCATAGGGGCAGGGGTGGGGTTTCTGCGGCTCTGTGGTGGTAGTGGGTGAGAGGGTCCTCAGACCAGCAGTGTACCCTGGATCCTCAGGAGGTCTGCAGCAGAGGGACTGGCTTGAGCTTCCTGGGAACTATGACCACAGAGGGTAAGTGGATCTCCTTCCAGGAGATTCTGCTGGAAACTGGTCCTGGAGCTTGGGGCTAGTGCAACTGATGATCAGTTTTCTTTTCAGCTTGATCTGGAGCTGGTCTCTTAGTTCTGGTGACTCATTCCCTTGTGTGTCCTTGCTGGTGCTGAGGACTCTCAATAGATGCTGGCCCAGCCAGTCTGCCTGGCAGGCCTCATTGCTGTCCCCAACACAATGACTGGTCCCTTCCAGAAAGTCCTGTCAGACTCTCCCTCAATTTTCAGACTCTCCTCTAGGTCTCATTTGGGCCATAGAGAAGCAAATAGCAGTTCAGGAGGTGAACAGTCTGCCTCCCTTTGGGGTATCTGTGAGTTTACTTTGCTGTGGCCATTCTTGGTTGCTGAGGATGGGCTATAAGACTCTGTCCTCCCAGAGCCTCAAGTGGAAAGGAGAGCAGAGACCCTCTCTTCACCTTTGCCCTCAATTTACCACATTTCATCAAATCTGAGATGCCGCTGATTATAAGACATACATCATTATTCTGTATACCAATACATAAAAAAAGGAAAATAGTAGTGCCTAGGAAGACACAACACTCCGTGATGGATCCTGTCAAAGTGTGCAAATCCACGTGTATTAAATCAGATAATGATTTATGTACGTGGCGTATGTTCCTGTTGACTGAATATTGGCCCAAAGATGGAGACACAGGCCTGGCCACTACTAACTTCCCTCTCTCACTTCTCTCTCTCCACAATCCCTCAGGCCAAGAGGAATAAGCCTGGGGCTTTTGGTTTCTTGTCATCACATCCTTCTGTGACCTCAGGGCAGCAAGTTTCACTGCCTGGATTCGCCTCAGAAGACACTCATCCCTGTAGCCCTGCCTCACTCCTGATACAGTATTAACTTGGAAAGTCTGTTTTGTTTCAGCAAAGCCTGGCTTCCAAGACTACTACATTGACTTGTGAGAAAGTTCTCTTTTGAATATCCAAAATTGAATGTTGGTGTTTTTTTTTCTTTTAGAACCAATTCTTAAACAATCTTAAACTTCTAGGAAGCATGCTTTTTGAATGGCTCTGGCAGAATGCAGAGAAGTTCAGTTTAAGAAAATATAAAACAAGCAAAAAAAAAAAGAAGCACATTAAAACGTTAACGAAAAATTATGCTATTTCATTTTTATCTCCCCACAAGTCCAGGCTAGCATGGAGCAATGGGCAAAACTGACATGTAGTCTATTCAGCAGGAAAACAAAAAATGAAAATATTTCTACTCATTCCAGCAGTACCTCTGAAGACAGAATTTGTTTCACTGACTTTCTTGGCCATTTCCCACAAAAAACTAAATTAGATTTCATTTTCAGGGGACCCACAGTGGATGTTGACTTAGTAGTTGACCTCTTTGCCATTTCCAAATTGATAATATCTCTCCCACCAAAAATAACCCTGAGGCCCTAGACACTTTTGTATTTCTTTGTGTTGCAATCTTTGGACTAGGAGTGAATATTTGCTTCCTTCTGCTATTCGAGCGTTAGTAATCTCATAGGTGGAATAGAAGTTGTACATGAAAATTGTTATTATCTTGTAAGAATGTGACTTTTTTTTTTCACTATTATTTTGGAGCAGCCAAATCGACATCCCAGGGACAGGACTTGTTATAATATAGGGGTTTTGTGCAGCTACTGAAGCTCTTTCTCCCTAACATTCTTCAAAAAGAACCTTTACTCAGATGCTTGGTGAGGAAACAGGAGTGGTTTCTCAGGCCAGGACTTCTTGCTGTCCGCCTGAGCTACAGCTGTCTCCATGGACTTTTCTACTGGCTAGCCTGTCCCAAGACACTGCCGACAAAAATCTAAATATAAACTTAAAGTAACCGGCAGAGGAATGGTAGATAGTACTAGAAGTATACAAAAGAGGTCATAAAATGATTGCACTGATTTGTAAATAGGTAGCTGAAAGAAGTTGAAAAGTTACAGAATCACCCTGCTTTTTTCCCAGTTTTTCTTCACCAAATCTTCATTAATTCTCATATTTTTTGTTTCAGTGTTGTAATCACATAACTGTCATTTAAAATATGATTTAAGCCCGACTATTATTTTTAAACATACATTTTCAGGTGTGATCTTTCCCATATTCGGGGCAAAATTGTGTGAGAGTGTGCTTATGTATGACTAAGTCTCTCATAAACTTGACTTTAATACGGAAGTCATCGACGGTAGAAGGGAATGTCACTGAACTTCATCTTACTAGACATTTCTTGGGGAGACTGATGGTTTGACAACTGATTTTCAAGATCCTAAAATAAATGAAATGTTTTAGTTAAAAGATGTTTGCATATATTGGAGGGTGGGAGGTGGAATTTTTTTTTTATAGCAACTAACTGTTAACAACTTTCTCTAGCTATAAGTATGATCCAATATTTTTTTCCTCATCAATTCTTTCTTTTGTTTGCAATAGCTCCTGTGCCTTACTCTGAATAGCGTTTCCCACCAGCAGGTTAATAAGATGCAACACACAAAAAGGGCCAGTGAATCTGTTTGTTACAGTCTACTTACTACAATACTCCAGTGCTGAAGTCAGTGAAAAGGCATCATCCAAATACAATCCAAGGAAAATGCAAGCTGATAGAGCACAAAGATGCTTTGTTAAGAATGGCAGAAATTTCCAGCAGCTATCTGGAAAAGAAAAAAATGCAGGATGGGAGGGAATGTAATCAAATAACAAAACAAACCCAAACTAAAAGAGAATCTTTATAAACCAGCACAAGGACACTTTGTTTTTAAGTGCACACAATGAATTTTAAAGATCTTTGTTCAGAAGGGAAATAAAGTATTATGAAGGACTGACACATTTGATGGATGGATGCGTTCTGAAAAACCACATTATCAATTACTTTTTCCTTGTTTGGCTCCAGTCCAATAATTTTTATTTGAACAAGCCACATGCTAGCATGGTTTTGATTGCAGGAAGTGACTGGTTGTTGTTAAAGGCTACTATTTCACTGATGGGCTTATCTCTTCCTCCCCCTCCCGTTTCTGATGGCTCTCAGATATGAAAGGCACAGCTTTAGTTGTTATAAACAGAGCCAGGGATTGTTTGATAGACCCACCCGTGTTTTGCTTTCAGTCTTCCGTGGTACAATCTGGACAATGTATTCAGCAGCGCTTCAGAAAACAAACACTTGAATCTGGCTCTTTCTGTCCTAGACCTTGAAATGAAATTTTGATTTTTCTGACATTTGTGTCTCTCATAATCTAAGTTTGTTAGCAATATGGTATTCTTATGAATATGATCTTCCTCTCTTTCTTCTTCTTTTTTTTAATTTTGGCATTGGACTACTATCTCAAGTGAACCTTGCTGAGAAAAAGAATCTTTCTGAAACAGGCATCCTGAAATGTGTCAAGGATCTTCCCAAACAATATGCTGCCTTGTTCTTGCTTTGCTTACTTAGTTTTCCTTTAATCAAAACAAGCATATTAGAGCAATGTTTATTGGTCTTAATATGAGAAACATAGCTAATTAAATTATATTACTAAGTATTATCAGTTTACCTCTGTAATTAAAGAAAGATTTGGGTGCAGTCATCAGTAGGCAGGAAATCATCTATGAAATCAGTTGTTGATACTCAGGGGTGTGTGTGTATGTGTGTGTGTACGTCAATATCCTCTAAACTTCCTTTATGATGGGATTTTTTTTGCATGTTAGCAGTCCTGAGCCTTAAACTATTTCTAAATTCCCAGGGTAGCATGTTGATAATAGCCTTTGGATAGTTAAGTATAGTTTCTAGTTCTATGTATGCATTTTTTAATTTTTTAATTTTTAGTTTTTTAAATTTTTTGCTTAGCCCTTGTATCTTTTATTTTTATTTATTTACCTATTATTGGGGTATGTAAAATGCATGAATCTTAGCATACAGCTCAAAGAATTTTGACATGCTTATATACTCACATAACACCCAGCTCAAGATCAAACATCCTCATTAACTTTTTCCCCCTTCACCTATTTTACCCTATTCCACCTAGTTCTATATTTTAAAACACTTTTCCTCTGCTGAAAATCAAAAAATAAAAAATAAAAAGATGGGCTTAGACAATGAGTTGTTTGATTATTTATTGGAAACTGAAAACAATTTAAATGAATTAGTATTTAATCTTCTTCAATGGAGGAAGTATAAATTTAGCAACCATTTGTTGATTCACTGATTCATATCCAAATTCTTCTAAAGAAGATCCCACAGCATAGGGAGATACACAAAATGCATGATTAACCATAACTTGTCTAAAAATAAGATGAAGAAAACAAAAGATACTTCATATCAAAGCTATGTATCTAAATGTTTTATTTCTTTCTGACCTAGAAAAGGGTGGTGTTTTTCAGCAAAAACAAAACAAAGCACTTTTTAGAGAAACAGAACTGGGTTTGAATCTTATTCTGTAATTTACAGGTTGGGTGAAAGTACTGAAAGTTAGGGAACATGTTCAATAGTCCGTGGACTCACCTTTTAAATGAAGAAGAGCTGTAGACTAAGGTATTGTGGTAGGTCATTTATATGACAGTGTCTGGTGTGTTCAGTAAATGTTAGCTACCAGTGGGGTTGATTACATAGAACCTACTGTAAAATAAATCCTGGGCCTTCCTAGGATACAGAAAAGGCCATGAGGCAAGGTCCATGATAAAAATCACAGGCTTTGCTGTACCCTAAATCTTGATATTCAAAATGTTATAAACAAAATTACACATCCCTTTTTAATCACTATTTAAATTTCCAGCTGAATTGACTAGTTAGTACTTTATTTGGCAATTCTTCCTCCCCAAGTGATGACTTTGTATATATTTGGTTTTAATAATTAGTCAAGTTCTAGTTGTGATGCAGTAGCTTTGCAGGTAATAAAAATTTAATTAAACATACTTTGATACAACTTTGATTATAAAGTTTCCTAAGCAGAGCATAAATAATTCAAAAATCTATGTGACTAACATACTTCATTCAACAAAAAGTGAGTTTTCAAAAGCAAAGTGTCAAATATGGTCGTTCGTGTAAGGCTACTGTGAACATTCTGCTCTAGAACTGATGAAAAATGTACAATCAGTGTACCTTTTGCCAGTACGGTTAGTGCTGTCTAGTGTTCATAGAGCTCAGAGTAGATTTCTGAATCTGGCTAATTTTTACAACATGACTCACATGTTTACTGTTTTTGGAGCAAGTTGTTAAGAGAACGCTGATTGCAGCATAGCAATCTAAATGTTATAAAAATGTTTCTAAATGCAACTTGCAATATTTATGTGTTAATTCTTTATTTTCTATTTTCCATGTCCTATTAAAATATGACAATTACTGTCATAATAAATCATTTTCTACATGATTAATTATATGTCTTAAAATTTTCAAAGAATATAAAATCCTCCAAGGACTTGAAAAACAAAGTTTCCTTCCAAGAAAGCCTAAGTACCAAATTTCTTACGGCTGTAAAGGAAAAATTGTCTATGCTGCTCTTTAAATCCTTGATGAACATCATTCCTAAAGATTGTATGATTATTTCCAGCATAGCTTCCCTTTTAAAAGCCTTAATTTCTCTTTAAATTCTCACTTGATAGATTTTAAGTGCCTCAGTTGTCTTACAAATTGAGAAGGGAGGATGAGTGAGTTATTTCTGCATTTCTGTCTTTCATACAGAGATGTTGCAATATGTAGAGAGATTCAGAATTCACCCTAAGCTATAAAAGCTCTGCACAGTAGTAACTGTTCTGGAAAAGGTATGCCAATCAATGTATTGATGCCTTCCCTATGAAATGAAGGGAGATGAGGGAAGGCAAACTGCTAGACTGAGCAGGGTGTTCCGTGGTCTGGGTGAGGGGTGTCTGCGATTGAGCAGGTCAACAGAGTAGAGATAACCAAGGGAGAGGGGTGGTTAATATTCTTTCATTTGTTGGCCCTTTTGAGTTTGACTTCCTCCATCACCCACACCTTCAGTAGGAGTGTTCATCATAAACAGCTTGTGTCAAGGGTACTTCAGAAGAGTAAAGGGTGTCCTAGAGATTAGCCTAGTGTGGAAAAGGGATGGATGAGCAAGAAGCATAGAGTGGAGATCAAGTTTTCATCGGCAACAAGACACCACAGACAGTGATGAGTCAGAGAAAAAGAGCCCTTTCAGAATCTCAGGAGCTACTGAGAAGGATGTTGGATATCTGACTGTGTGTGGGTTGACAGTGGATTATTCCTGTTGAAATCTCTCAGAGCAAGGAATCCGGCAGGCTGGAAGATGAGGCTTCCAGTTAGCTGGCATGGATTATACTGATAACATCTTTCTATTTTCTAACTGTATATATTTTATTATTATATCATTTATATGATATAAATTACATATTATATATAACAATTATTACATTATTAATTATGTTACTATATCTGGCTATACATATACATTTTGATTGTAGAACTGATGTGTAGTCATAATAGAAACACATGAGGTAGGCCAGTCACTTTTCTCTGAGTAACAGTTTTCACACTTGTAAGGTGGTCACCATACCTGCTTTCCCTACCTAACAGGTTTTATAGGAAAGGAAGAGGTCCATGGGAGCACTTTGAAAAGCACAGAGCATTATAATTCATGCAAGAGATTAAAGGGAGCTCAAGTGGAGGGGAATGAAGTGGGATCTGAAAGCTCATGTTTGATTCCCAACTTGTTTGCTTACTACTTGTATAATCGTCAGGAGGCCATTGCTTTCTCTGAATGTCAGTTTCCTAGTCTGTAAAATGGGGATTTGAATACCCATTCTTCCTATCTATTGGTGTTTTTACATATTACCAGATGTAATAATATGTGACAGCACTATGTAGACATTTGTGGTCCATCCAGAAGTAAGGTATCTAATGATCTCACTTGTGGACATATTAAGAAAAATCTATAATAAAAACATCTAAATCTTATTCTATAAAAAGCCAAGCAGCAGAGGTGGGGGTATCTCCATGAATGAAAATTTCCCCAAATATCATAGTTTTTTCTAAAAGTGGTAGTGCACTGGACCAGATATTATACTGTGAATGATGGCTCATTCACACTATTTTACTAGGATTTCTATTCAAGGAAGTCATGTGATTTATCAGAATTGTTCCAGGTTATGTTATACTGAGAACAAACCCTGAACTGAATTACAGCAGTGGGAGCCTACATACTAGCATTAAGATTATAGACCCTTACAGTTTAGATTGCTTTAAGTGACAACTAATCAATCTTCAACAAAATGTGTCTGCTTCTACTTCCCCCAAATACTATTCATTCCAGAAGTTCATTTCTTTGGAAGTATTAGTGAGAGGCAAAGAAAAAGCAATTAAGCTTAGCAAATGATCCTGAATCAAAATTCATTCTATATGACCAATCCAACTCCCAAATAATAAACTAAAAACATTTGAGGGGCTGCAAATGTTTGCACTGAGTGAGGAGAGGTTTAGAGATGATACTTCATGGATGAGACACCATATGGACAAAATCGGAAAGGTTAATGGGACCAACTGAGGTTAACCCGATCATGGTAGGCTGTGAGTTGAGCCCCAGTTCCAGTGAAAATAATACTTGACTTTGATGAGTTATTTTCTTGTACAAAGCACATAGTATCTAGTTATACTTTCCTACACCTACTCCATTCCCATGCCACCCATTTCAGAAAGTAAGCACACAGCTTTTCTCCTGTAATCTCTGCCCTACAGGCTGTTGTTATAGCCAATGTGAAAGCATGGCAGGCACGGTTGAATAGGTGTGAACCCTGCTGTTGTGAAAAGTGAAAGGACTAGTGCTTATGCACAGTTCATGTTTAAGTTCATTGCTCTTGAATTGTGCTTATCAAGATTTTCAGAGACTCTGAGGTTGGGGGCTGGAGGAAAGCAGGGAGCCAAGTTTGCTTACTGCAGCCATGGGAATCCTCAGGTTTAAGTTTTGCCCAGTGGCAAATGTAACACAGTCATCTCCACCCCCATTTCAGCAATAAAACATCTGCTTGAAAAGGCATAAACCACACAGGTGAGTTGGGTCCTGTTTAAGTCACATACTTTAATTAATACCCACTTGTGGAAAAAGGATTGCATATAGTTTTAAAATAAGGAGGTAGAAGACAGAAGTTTTCTGCTTCAGTACTTACAAGCTGTGTATCCTCAGGTAAGCGATGTTTTCTGAGCCTCAGGTGATTAGTCTTTAAAGTGTGGATAATAATACTTTGTTTGCTTAAAGGCAGGGGAATAGAACAGAAAAATCTCTTAAAGGTCCCTTTTAGATGCAAGGGACTAAAGATAATATAACTTTTTCTTGAGTGAGAGAGTCTTTTTTAACAGTGTATTTCAAAAATATGATTTAAAAAATCACAGAATAAATCCCTTTAAAATATTCAGATAATTAATTGTGCAGACTAGTTAGAAGTCCAGGATCTCTCTCGGACATTCAGGATTACTGCTGATGTAAGGTGTGACTATTGAAGACAGGGGTCCGATAAGACCTTTGTCATTCTCACACACTCAGCCAAAGCACCCCATTTGGTACCAGGGTGAGTCAGCCGAAAAGAAAACGGGATTCTTACCTTTAACCAAGGATTTTTGCAGAATGAGAATTGCCACCTCTGTAGCTACTGATGTTGAGTCAGGGTTATGGGTCCATTCTGTTGACTTCATGGCAAGGTCCAGACAGCCCTCCACATCCCACTATGTCTGTGACCCAATCTATGGAAGGGAAGAAAAAGGCCTCAGTGTTCCTTCTTGCCAGCAGACTTAATTATGGACCATCTCAAGGGTTTCAAACAATGCAGCATTTCAATTAGGAGAGTTGTTTTCTTCCAGAAACCTCTTCAGTCTCTATGTAACTTTTTCCACCCTACTCCCTAGCCAAGCACTCCTGCCCCCCGAAAAAGCAATAGGTGCCCACCTGCCTTTTACCCACCAGCAAGGGACATCTCAACACAAAGATAGGTTGGCAATCTCCACCAGTAAACAGAGGCAGCTAACAAAAATAAGGCCTTGCTTCACCAGACAAGTTCAGAAATTTGACAGTGTCTATTTGATATGGATGTACTAAACCTTTTTAAAAAAGAGTATTCTATACAGTTATATCCATCTTATCATAGATGGGGGGGTGAAGACAAGTCAGTTATGGGGCAAGTCAGCTGACAGTCTATAAATGGGTCCACATGTCCTTGATACTTTGTGATCGTTGCTGTCCTAGTTGTATATTCAAAGCAGAGCTTGACATTTCTGAATTATACAGGTGGCCTCTATTCAAATTAAAATGTACTCATTTCATTCATTACTGGGGGTAGGCCGTGGCACTGCCAAGGAGATGTGTGCCTTAGTAATCTTACCAACTGCCCAAAATAAAAGTAACAGATATTCTTCAATATGGAAAAGGATATTTTCTCAATCTTAGGTAAAGTGTGAATAAGGACATTTACTGACCATTTTCATATTTGTAATGATCCTGGTACTTTCTGCTTACAATCCTTCCTTCCCCCACAATGGTTTGCCATTAACCTCAGAATAGAAAATAAATGGCATATTCAGGGTAAGAAGTTTCACGTGATCTGGACCCATAGATGTGGATGACCTGATCTTAACACTATTTTTACCCTGGCACACACCAGTCTTCTAAAAATCTTCACATGCACCAGTATTCCCCCAGATGGGGCCTTTGTTTCCACCCAAAATCTGCTTTTCACTGATTTCTGCCATGGCTGGCTCTTAGCATTCAAGCCTCTGCTTAATTGTCACTTTCTCCCAGAAGCCTTCCATGACCTTCCATATGAACTAGTTCTGCCACCCGAGTGACTCTTGTCCCTGTTACCCTGCTGTATTCTCTTCATAGCACAGACCACCACAGTCATATTATGCTGGTACTTGTTCAGCTGTCTATCTCCCTCCCTCAGAATGTAAACCTCAACAGGGAAGAGACTTTGCTTCTGTTGTTTACTGTATCACTCTGAGTCCCATTAGGAGACAAAGCACACAGTAATTTGAACAAGGAAAGTTCAATATAAAGAATTAACTATAACAAGAAATGGGAGTAAAGAGGGATTATAAGTAAGAGGTAGAGAGCCCTAAAGAATATAAAACAGCAGATAGAAAAAACAGCCACTAACCCTATGGCTGAGAGAGAGGACTCAAGAAAGAGCCTGTCCAAGACTCACATGCCCTCTATGGCTGAAATCCAGACTTGGAGAGTGTATAGGTGGAGTGCATGGACTTGTTAGAAATCTGCATTCTAGAACTGGCCAGAAATCCACATTCCAGAATTTACTGGAAATCCATCCTTCTGGGTGCCAGGGAAACCTGTTCAGGGAGATGTCTCATCAGAGGCATTCAGCTCCAAAAGCACTTGAGGGGGGCTCCTGAAGAAAGCTGCTGGCTGCTGATTGCCACCTATGCTGTAGGAACCTGCAACCTCCCCTCCCCCGTGCGTGCGCGTGTGCGTGCGCCACACACACACACACACACACACGAACCAGGAAGCAAAACCCTTCCTCTTGTAATGTCTCTCCAGGGCCCCCTGTTGACAAGGATTTGGTACTAGCTGGCAAAGAAAACTATTTAAAGGGCCCAGATTTATTTTCACAGAGCAGGCAAAGAGGTTGCATTTGGAGGTGAGAGACAATGTAAAATCCACATTCCAGAATTTACTGGAAATCCATCCTTCTGGGTGCCAGGGAAACCTGTTCAGGGAGATGTCTCATCAGAGGCATTCAGCTCCAAAAGCACTTGAGGGGGGCTCCTGAAGAAAGCTGCTGGCTGCTGATTGCCACCTATGCTGTAGGAACCTGCAACCTCCCCTCCCCCGTGCGTGCGCGTGTGCGTGCGCGCGCGCGCGCGCACACACACACACACACACACACACACACACACACACGAACCAGGAAGCAAAACCCTTCCTCTTGTAATGTCTCTCCAGGGCCCCCTGTTGACAAGGATTTGGTACTAGCTGGCAAAGAAAACTATTTAAAGGGCCCAGATTTATTTTCACAGAGCAGGCAAAGAGGTTGCATTTGGAGGTGAGAGACAATGTATAGAAAATAGCCACAATTACTACTAAATTCCATTATCCTGGCACATATCAGGTAGTCAAGAAATATTTGATGGAGAAATAAAGGATTTATAGTATATAACCTAAGTGAAAACAATGTGCTTGCTTTGCATATATCACTTTAAGATTGGCTTGGCTTCCAACAGGAATGCTGCTGCTGGGTCCCTCCCACATGAACATTCTGGAGCTTCCCACTGTGTGGTAGGGATATGACAACTCCCCAAGTGACTTCACAGCGTGGCTCAACAGTTTGTGAGAAGTGCAATGAGAGAAGCACAGCAGAGAGGAGGAGAGACAAAAGCAGCTGTGAGCCTCACTCTGTTCAGCTGGGCCACTGGTTGCTTCACTTGGCATCTTTCTGAGACATCACTGTGAATTATGTAGATCTGCCATGTGGGCAAAATGTGAAACATATCCAAGTGTTGTATTCTAAAATTGTACTTAATAAAAAATAAAGAAACATTCTTGATTTCTCTAGCCACTCTTCTGTGGACACAAACTGTGGAGAGAGTTCAGGAGAAAGGTCCCTGCTACAAGCTATTTGATATTTGATATTTCCTAACAGTGCTAAGCTTCTCACTGTCCACAGACACTTTCAATAGTTCCTTAGGTTCTATTATTAGGACTCTCATTCCCTGTCCTAGGAAATAACCACACAGAATTCCAATAAATATGGCCAGATGATGTGGAAGCTTTCTATATTGACACAACTTGGTGTTCACTCATTAGTGCCATTAACAAATATTTATTGAGCACCTATTTTGTGCCAGACATCATTCTAGGCATTTGGTGTGCAGCCTACTCTCACAGAACTTGCTAACATTCTGGCTAGCACAGATAACACAGAACTTCCTACAGATGTACTATGGGTGATTCAACAAACTATTGAAAAGCTCCAGTGGGAGCAAAGAACCAACCCCAGAGTAAAATGTGGTTGTTGCTATATCTGGCTATACATATACATTTTGATTGTAGAATTGATGTGTAGTCATACTAGAAACACATTGTTTCTAGTATTCACTGTCCTAGTATAGAAATTTTATCACTCAAGTCTTCTAACTTTGGGTCTTAGGAATGTTTCAAAACATTGCTGTCCAATGGAAACATGTCAGTCACATGAAATAATTTAAAATTTTCTAGCATCTGAGTTATTAAAAGATTAATTTTAAAACACAATTTTAGTAATATATTTTGCTTAACTGATTATATTCAAAATATTTGAATTTCTATGTGTAATATTATTATAAATTATTGAGTTATTTTCTTTCTCCATTTTTTGCACTAACTCTTCAAAATCGGTGTGTATGTGTGCTTACAGCATACCTCATCTTGGACTGGCCACATTTCAACTGCCCAACAGCCATCTGCCCAGAGGAATCCTCCATCTTATTCTGGGGATGGAGGAGAAGATACTTGATGAAGTGAAATATTCTGTGAACTCTGGTTCCAGGATTTTAGTAAAGTTAGAAGAAGGCAAAGACCACCATAGCTTTCCTTTGCACCAGCCCTCCACAGTGCCCAGAATAGAGGAATGCCCAAAGAATGCGGTAGGTTGGACATGAAGTCACTGTTTGATTCGTTCCCTGAGGTAAAGGATATCAGTAGGAAGAATGGTTTTCCACTAATGCTGAACTATCTCAATTAGCGTCTCAAGTTAGGGTAGTCAAAGGACATTCAAGTACTGAACGTTCAAAACCCAGACCGTTAAATTAGTCAAACCCCACTTGATTTTTTCCGAATTCCTCCCAGCCCCAGAGGTTTGAGGCTTCCTAGGAAAGGCTGAGCCGCGCGGTCTCCTCTAGAACCAGGGAGCTGCTGTAGCTGGATGGGGGCTGGGAGATCTATAGGGATGAGCCGCTCCCCGTGCCCCTGCCTCCGCTCCTTCAGCCTCTGCCCAGGACCCACCTTCCCAGCCCCTGTCTGGGCGGCGGCCGACCCACCACTTCTCTTGACAAGCGTGGCCCCCTGCCCGTTTTAATCGCGACAAACTTGACATTCCTCCAAAGGACGGGAAAAAGAGAAGCGGTTTCCTCTGATCCGGAGGAGGAAGCAGCTCGGGACGCGTAGGGGCGTTTTCCTCCCCGAGCCGGGGGCCGGCACCGGTTGCCGTTGCTTCAGTGCGGACAGACTGACAGTCTGCGAGGTACGGGTGGGCCCTGGACAGTTTCTTTGGGAATCGGACGACCCTTGATCCCGGGCCTCCACGGTTACGCCCTCCCGACCCCCGGCAGGACCCCGTCTCGGGGAGCTTTCTGGGATAACAGCTGAGGGAAGTCAGCCCAGCTTTGGGGTTAAACGGCAATGCCAGCTCCCTGGGGCTCGGAGGGGCGCCCCCTCACCCCCCCACGCCTTCTTGCCCCGGCCCCTGCTCCGGTAAGCGTCCGGCAGCTGTCTTCAGCTCTAAACAGGAACAGGGCCCTAGCCCGCGTTCATACGGAAAATTATGCCGGCTCCAGCGGCGCGTAAAATTGATGTGAACCGAACGAAGTGGATTCGGCGTGATCCTCCCTCTCCTCTCAACAGGGGTTTCGGCGTTACACAAGGCCGAGCTTGTCTCTTTAAGGAGACAGTGGACCCCTAATTAGGCTGCGTTCCTGCGCGGTCGCGGAGCAAGGGGCCGTGGGAGGACGCGACTCGGAAGGAGATCTCTGACCAGCCTCCAGCCTCACCGCCCCCTCCATCCTCTTTACTTTGCCGCCACCACCGCCACCGCCACCCAGTTCCGAACGCAGCCAGTGCAGCAGCAGCCGCCGCCGCCTCTGCTCCCAGGCCCACGTTACTTTGATTGACAGCTGAACAAATGTTTCCCGGGTTCGAACGCTCGCGCTAAGGAACGTCAGCCAAGGCGAAGCTCCGCCTTGGGCGGGCTGTCTTCTCCCCGCCTTCGCTAACACCATCCCGTTCTGTTCATTGGTCTGAGTTACAGACGACGACCGGCCCCCACGTGGGCCCCAACCCGGCCGGCTCCTCCCCCCTGGCTCGCCATTTGTCAGCAGTGAAATGATGGGCAGTAATACAGAACGGCGATTAATGTTCAGCCACCTCTGATTGGTTGCTGGAGACACCTCCCGCGCCGGGGGTGGGCGGGGCGCTTGGAGAGCGCTCCAGAGCGGTCGCGTGGCCGGCCGGTGATTGTAGTCAATCTGGTCGAACGCTCATCCTCAGTCGCCGGGGGCGGACTACATCTCCCGGGATGCTCTGCAGTCCCTCAGCGGACGGTTGTGAATATGTATCAGAATGTTAATGATTAGCTGCTGCTAAATTTGGTCAAAGAAGTCACCTACACAGAGCGTGTTGTTAGAGCTGTTCGGAGCGGGTGTTTGGGCTGTTGGCTGCTCTCTTTTCCCCCTCTCACACACTTGTACATTATTTTGAGGTGGTGTTCGCAGAGTTTGAAAGGAGAGAGAATTAAAAAAAAAAAAAGCCGCAAGCGTTTCACTTTTATTTTTAAAATCCCCTTCAATTTGGGGTTTAAAAAAAAAAGGACAAGAAAACAGGAAGGAAGAAAAATAAGGAAATGAGATGTGGTAAAAGAAGCTAAAAGGTGCCTTTTAAAAGATCGTTGCTGTGAAGTGAAAAAAATCTCCAGAGAAACCAAAAAAGCACCGCCAAGACCTCTTCCGAACCAAAGGAGTTTGTGTTGGCTTTTAGGAAAGAAGAGAGAGATCATTCATTCGGAGGAATAACAACCAATTAAAAGACAAATAAAAAAAGTTTGGAGTGGGACGCCGAGCGAGCGAGCGAGGCGGCCGTACTGCCGGCGGGCGCTGGGGCGCGGAGCTCGCACTTTCCCGGCCCGGGTGCGGCGCCGGTCTCAGCGGGCGTGCCTCGGCTGAGCGAACGTCGGAGCTTTGCCGCGGGAGACGCGCGCCGGACAATGCCCGCGGCGGGCCAGTGACGCTCGCGGGGAATGCGGAGCTGCCTGGCCACCCGCACCCAGCCGCCACCGCCGCCGCGCGTTCCTGCCGCCCGCGTCACGCGAGACCCGGCGGGGGCCGGGACCTTCCGAGCCGCCCCTCGGACCCGGCTGGCCGCCGTCGCCGCCTCCTCAGGGCCATTAAAGCCAATGAGCCGCGCGCCTCTGCCCAGCGCAGCCAACTAAATCGGCTTGGATGATCCGCGACCTGAGCAAGATGTACCCGCAGACCAGACACCCGGTGAGTGCGGGCGGCGGGGGCGCCGGCGCGCTCTGGGGGGGTTCCCCGTGTCGCCCCCTGCGCGCCGAGTTGTGTGTTCGGCCGGAGGTGCGGGGAGGGCGCCGGAGCCCCGCGCCCCGCTCGGGGAGCCACCCGGCCTCCGTCCCCTGCGCGGTGGCACTCTCGAGGAGGGGGTGCAGAGAGGCAATTGAGTTGTAGCCATTTTCTTATTGTTGTCTTTGAAGCCCCTGGAAGCCGCGCGGAGCCGTTCGTCGTCCCCGCGCCGCGACTGCTAGAGGGGGGGTGGCGAGCGATGGAGGCGGCGCGACTCCGCTCTGGGGCGGGGAGGCGCCCTCGGCGGCGGCGCGGCTGGTCCGGCGGCGGCTCGGGAGAGCGGACCGCCGGCCCCTTGAGTCGCGGGCTCCGGACACCAGCGAGCGGGCCAGGCGGCCGTGTCCCCGCCCCCCCGACCTGACTGCGGCCCGACGCCATGGCGCGAGTCCCCCCGACGGGCCAGTTTCGATTCCGGGTGGGGAGGGAGTGGGCGCGGCGCTCCGGCCCCTCGGCGCCCGCCTCGGGCGGGGGAGGGCAGCGGGGTCTTGAACCCGCTGGGTCCGGCGTGGGAGGAGGACGCGGGGGCTCAGGGCTACCCCGAAACCAGCCCTTGCCGGCCGTGCTGCGCGGGGGCAGGGGTCCGGGAGGAGAGTTTTCCTCGCGCTCTGCCTGCCTGCGCGATGACCGCCCCTCCGCCGCCGCCAGCGCCGCGCGGTTTGTTTTCTCCATCCCCCTGCCTCGCTTGTGATGTGGGCTAATTAAATATTTTATTGTTGTTCTTTAGGCACCGCATCAGCCTGCTCAACCCTTTAAATTTACAATTTCCGAGTCCTGTGATCGGATTAAGGAAGAGTTTCAGTTTTTACAGGCTCAATACCACAGGTAACAATGTTGACTTTAGCTGATCCTCCTATTTGCTTAGCTCTTGTCTTCCCCCACAGACACATACAAACACCTCCCCTTTTTTTGGCCACCGCAAAGGTATTGTCGCTTTTCTTCGTGGGCTGAAAGGGCAAGTCGAGGCCTTTTTTCTTTAGGCAGGTGCAAAGAAATCAAGCATTCCTCCCTTCTCCCTTAAATAAAAGGAAAAAAAAAANAAAAAAAAAAAAAAAAAGGAAGGCAGAACAATCGAAACTGGGGAGACTTGTAAAAACGCTGAGGCCAAACTTTCGATACTGATTTATTGGGGCCAGGAGGATGGAAGGCTGGGAAGGGTCTGGGGCCTTTTGACCTCCTTGGTTCTCTATGACTGCGGTCTTGATTCCTTCTCACTTCTTCCTGCCGTTCACTGGAACACCAAGAACTGAGCGAGGGTCCTGGGAAGTCGCAAGTGAGCAATTTCATGACTTTTATGCCGAAAAAATGTTTTCCTGTTAGAGACGACCATTGGAGTGCCTTTGAAATATTTTTCTTTCACTGGCTCTTTAGCAACGTGTGATTCTTTCAGAAAAGCAAGGACCAAAACAAGCCACTGAACCCGATCCACACTGTGCCCCTGGGTGGTGTTCAACTTGTGTCTGTGCTGTGGAGGGAAAAAATAAGACATCATTCATAAGACTGGCTTGATTCATATTTTCATTGATCTCTTTGTGGACTATTAAAGAAAAAGAATTCCCTTGTGACATTTTGGGGAACTTATTTGTGCTTGGATATGTAGACATTATTGATGTTTATTTTCCTGTTTTTGTTTAATTAAATGAATTCAGTGAATATTCATTTCTGGATGAGGTTTGGTAATTGAATTGGCTAGAAGTTTTTTTTTTCTTAGAACAAAACCCCCACACTTGATGGAAATTGAAAGGGCAAGTCCAGACGGCCAATCACCAACCCCTTCTCTCCTCTCTCTAATATAATGAGGGTGGTATTTAAGATAGTTGATTAGGCGTTTTGTAGATGATGGCTTTAAGGGAGGTAATGTGTATTTACATTTAAAGGATGTAAGTCAAGATCTTAATTACTTATGTTTTGAACAGCCTGAAGCTGGAATGTGAGAAACTCGCCAGTGAGAAGACAGAGATGCAGCGGCATTATGTCATGGTAAGAAAACTGTGTCACAGATCAAAGTGCCTATTAGTTTGGGATTCCAAGAGCAAGAATACGTTCAGATTGCTGGGGGCTGCAAGATAGATCACAGTTGCTGTGCCAGTGTACTGAGGTGGTGAGAATGTGACCATTAGCAATTAGCAACCTGGATTCCAGAATGTTATAACTTGGCCTCTGACAACCAGCTTTGATATGAATTTTCAAAAAGTTAAGCCGCCTGAGGTATAATTTTCTGTGCTTTGTTTTTACATATTGGAATAAGAAAAACGTTTATGTTTTGTGTCACAAGCAAAATGTTTTTGCTAGTGGTTTTCTTTGTTGTTTTATTGCTCTTGCTCCAGTTTTTCTGTATACTGTAAAGATTGTAATGTGTTTTATTTCTTTTAAAGAATGTGACTAACAAGAAACCAGGCACCTTTTCAAATTTTCCCCCATTCTTTATGTTACTAGTGAGTGTGTATTTGTGTGTTTTCAATCTCTGTAGTGTTACATTGGTGTGAGGAGTGTTGTAGTCTCCTGTGTAACTGATCCGTTCTGCCAGAATTTCTATGCCAGTTAATAATTCATGTTTAAAGAACTCAGATCTGCTTTCTCAGAAGTATTAACAAGCATATTTTTATGCTTGTTCCTAAAGGCTCCAGAGTAACTCATTCGTTTCCTCTCAAGTCTTTTTCTTTTGTATGTATGAACATAAGTAGTAAACGAAAAATGAGAGACTGAACTCTGAAGTAGCATCACCTTTTTGTGCAGTTCTTTCAAAGCATTGGCATGTGTTTGAGGCACATTTTTGCCATTAACTTGCCCTCTGTGCCTAGAAATTAAGAGTCCATATGGTAGCAAATTTTCGTCAGATCTTTTTGATTCATTCATCTGCTTGTGATGTATAAAGACAACTGGAGATGTGAAAAATACTGTGTTGAAACTTGATTTTTGTAGTCTTGTGAGTTTCTCCCTTAAAGTCTCACCTTAAGGTGGCTTCCAGGTTTATTAGACTACATACTGCAGTAGGGTACCCCTTCTCATGTAGCAGCATAGGTATTTTGGATACTTTGGTTTAGGTGAGGCTTTTATGTTTGTTTTAAACAAGCTTGGGGGCATTTTGAACAAACTGTAGATTGATGAAAGGTACGACATTAATTGCTTTTCTTTCTTTGACAGTATTATGAGATGTCCTATGGGTTGAATATAGAAATGCACAAGCAGGTAAGTTATTTCCTTATAACCGTTTTAAATGGCATTTGGAATACTGTGCACTTCAGAAAGAAAATAGTTATGTTTTGCAATTCTGCACATCTTTGTGCCTACTTGTATTTTAATACTCTGTCCTAGAGAGAGGACTGTTTTTTCAGGTGTGGTTCCTCATCTTTGTTTTGCATGTTAGTCTAATTGTAACCAGTTGGAAATGTGATTTAAAGTGTCTGAGTGTGTATTAAACTTTGTACACTTTAAAAACAGGATGTTAAATTTAAAATCTTGTTTTCTTTTGAAAGAGTTAATTTATGTGTTTTTGGGCATTGCACACGTGTCTTATGAAAGAGATTTTCTTGAAAAAATATTAAAAAAGGAAAGCTGTAAAATATGTGGAGCCTAAGCTCAATCTGAAAGTGGATAGAGGGTGAGCTGGGAGGGTCAAAATGAAATCTGTGGTGCTGCAAAAAAAACTGATGTAAAATAAAATCCTTGTACGGGTCCCCTGAGACTCCTTAGTTGGGTCTTACCAAGAACCATAACTGTTATTTCCAAAATTTGTACAGAGTAGCCTGATAGGGGGATGTGATAAGGTTCAATCATGGATCTTGAAATCTAGCAATTAATTCAGCCAAAAAAAAAAAAAAAGATTACTCAGAAAGTGTTGAGAGGTAGGTATTAGTCAAGCCTTTCTTTGGTAGTAGATTGAATAAATGAATAAAACGGTTTGGTTTAAGTTTCCTAGATAG